CAGAATCAAACAACTATTTAAACTGTTCAATCAAAGAAAATATAACCACAAAAATGTCAAGGAGTCAACATAACTCACTTTAAAAAACAAATGAAACAAATATTATAAAAGACAGCATCATTAAAACACAGAAGAAATCAATCACTTGCAAGAATTATAACATTAATAAAATAAATCAAACTTTTCAACAACAAATCAAAACTACTCATAATCAAAAATTAATTCAATTCAAAGTTCTTTATACCCTAGTGCGCCGTCCGACGCGCCCCCGTCCGATTTTCTCCGTCCCTGATTGGCCGCCCGTGCGTGCTCCCGCTCCCGCCTCCGCGTGCCCGCAGTGGCCCGGTCGCGGTCGAGCTCCCTCTTCCCTTCCCTTCTGCGGCAGCCAGCCACCCCATTACTTCAAACTTTGCATGTAGGCCGTAGTGGATATGGAATACAACATATCCAAATTAAAAGCGATAATTCCGCCGGGAAGGGGTTAAATTGTGGTGTCAAAGTCAATGAGTTGAGGTGCGATGTTTGATGGGGTAAGCCACCAACCCAACCAGACCCAACTATATATATATATTTTCACCCAGGCAACAGAGCGGTGCAAAGCGGTGCAAGATCAACAAAGTAAATAAAAATAGCAAAACATATAAGAAAACTGAAAGGCTTCATCCTGGAGTGATTTTAACCACAGAAAAAACAAACATTCACACCAGATCAGATCTGTCAAGTTTCACACAAAGACACTGAATGAAGGAAATATATATATATTCAATGCACAAGACAGACCCAACATCGACATGGAACATCAATTATTTATCCACTGTGAATCATACCTCATTATCATATGCCGCCGGTGCAAGCACGCTGTGTGGCCAACCGAGATTGAACGGCATCTGAAAGGCAAGGCCCATCAGCTAAAGCATGCGGTGGTTCAGCAGATAAAGGAGAACATTGAACAGTGGGACAATGTGGCTCGAGATACTACACAGTTAACACTGCCCACAATACTGAATGAACCAATCCCGGAACTACCCATTCATGATGGCTACAGGTGCCAGCGGGATCCCCAGTGCCAGTATGTGGCAGGGAACATGAACACCATGCGCAAGCACTGGCAGAACAAGCACAGCTGGTCGCCATATCCCAGCCGTGGCCGTACAGCGCCACAAAAGCGTACGGCAGCACAGGATGAGGTGGACAGATCATGCCAGAAGGTGCAGTTCCAGCAGGTATTTGCATCGCGCAAGGGCTCCCACTACATACAGATCCAGACTAAGGAGACTACTGAGCACACCGGCACGCCAGACCAGAACAGAGCCAGCCATGTCATTGATGAGCTGGAGCGGTTTTACCGGGAACAGCAACGGCAGACCAGCAATGTCATCCAGGCCGGGGAGCACGATGAAGCCAACCCATGGCTGCGGCGGACCAGATGGCCGGTGTACTATCCAACAGGTGGGGGTGGAATGGACGTCCATTCCATTCAGGGTTAGAAAACTGACCAATCAGAGCAGGGCAGATTGGACGTACATTCCATTTGGTTTCAGACGTTGAACGTCTAATCAACTACGGAGTCAATTGACTTCAAACTTTGCATGTAGGCCGTAGTGGATATGAAATACAACATATCCAAATCAAAAGCGATAATTCCGCCGGGAAGGGGTTTCTTTGTATGGTTCAAAGTCAATGAGTTGAGGTGCGATGTTGGAACCTATCATGCCATCAACCCAACCAGACCCAACTAA